AATTCATCTAAGGGTCGACCCATGGACCGTAGGTCAGACCATGGACCGTGGTCCGCGTCCGTGGATCAGACACCCAGAAACCAACCTCCAGTACTGATCGACGGTTGACCAGCACTGATTGTCAGTCGATCAACGGTCCATCAGTCCCGTCCGTCGATGAGTCCGACAACAATTAAGTCGGACGTCTTTTGGTTTTTTCCTTTTTCGTTGGACCCCTAAATTACGTTGTTTTAACCCTAAACTACGTGGTATTGGCTAGTTTTAGCCTTGAAACATAACTACAACTTACCTAAGTCAAATCATTCATCAAAACTTAAAAACTTAGAACGCTATGAGGAGAAAGGAATCAAGAACCCTAGTTCAAGAACGCAACAAGTTTCATCAGGTATGTGGGATTTCACTAGTGGGTTCCTCTCTCCCATTAGGTCCCTAGAATTTAGTCAGATTCTTGATTCCCTATTATTAACTAGACATAGGGTTTCTAGAAGTTCAGCAGATTAAAATCCTTTGTGAGATACTTTGATAGTAACTTAGTTACATACTGTGGTATGTTTACCATTAACCAACATATACCATGTGAGCTAAAACATTGAATCTTGTGTCTATTCCACAGCAAAAAGAGATGTCCTACTTGTCAAGGTAAGGACCATAAACTTCTAGCTTACGTGGATCCACTAGCTAAGACATCCTACGATGGAACGTAGTAACAGACAGGAAGATTGATACGAGAGACCTGACCTCTACTAATGAGAGAGCCTCCATCTCAATATCCTCTCGGTACTAAGTAAATCCCACTGAATAGTCACTAATCATATTCATTTCATCATCTATGGAAATGCATAATTAAGCTACCAATCCAAGAGAAAGTCATTTAGAATAGCTCTTTAAATCTTGATTAAACTTACGTGAGAAAACCTTTCAACCTTATGAATACTAATGTGAGAATATCTTCCATACTTTCATCTAAAACCACCCTCAAGTCATATACATCAATCTCATAAAAATGTGCATATCTTCATATATTTATATTTCACATTTCATAAGCTTCATCATGTGTTCATACTCAAAAATCACGGATCATGCATGGGTTCATATGAATTCAAATCAAAATCATTTAAATACATCAATTCATGCATTAGAAGATAGAAAGTAACTAATTGAATCATAATTAAAAAGAACTCGTGAAGATAGACTAAAATTCTAACTTTGAATTAAGAATTAAACTTTTAGAATTTGGATCTTTGGGGACCCAATGGAGGAAATAACTCCATAGGTGAATACTAACATACCTTGATGATCAAAGCCCAAAAGTTATGGTGAATTGGAGACCTTGAAGTGTAACCCTAGCTTCTTCTTCATTAGCTTGAGATAGAAATTTGAGGGAAGAACTTGGAAAGAATTTGGGATTTAGGAGAATGATCTTAGAATGGGAAGTTTTAGGACTTAAAATACGTGTATAGGGCTTAGAATAGGGGTGGTAAAAAACGACATATATTATGTATTAGACACTTAGGAAAAACACCCAAAATCCCCTGAAAAATTAACTGTCGAACAGGTTTATGAGTGTGACCCTATAGTCCGTACTGGTCAACCATAGACTAAGTACTCGAGCCTAGTTTAAAGCATACTTTTGACGAGACTGGTCTACGACCCGTAGAACCTTCTACTGTCCGTAGACCTCAACTATAGAACTCAACTTTGACCTTAATATTTCACTAAGTCTTGGACCTTTAGAGGAGCCCTATCTATGACCCATAATGCGTTTGACAGACCTTCCTGGTTGACCGTAGAACGATTTCCCAATAATTCAACCCACTTTCTACGGATGCCTTCTACAGTCCATAGAAGCTTCTTTGGCCCATAGACTGGACCTGTAGAACCCAAATAGTAGCCACAAAAATGTTATCTTTTCCTTTTTCAAAAATCCGAGTTGTTACACAATGAGGACTAAAAGATGATGTTATCAAGTGGTACTGAAATCATGTGAGAAGGGGTTAGTCCTAAATTATTAATTAAGTCAAGAATGATTGAATAATTCCTTTAAATTGGTAATATGACTTGGATACGTTAACGTGAAGGAAAACAATTGTGATAACTGTTAAATTAGGGCTTAGGCCTAACTCACACCCTAAAAGTTAACTCAAAGGGAGGAGAATTGCCCAAGCCTTATAAGGAGTCCACCCATCTCATTAATCACAAATGTGGGGCTTTTGGCTTTAACAATTAACACCCCACCTCACGCCCAGTGCTTAGCATCTGGTGCGTGGGCAATTTTGGGTTTTTTGACCCACCTCACGCCCAGTGCTTAGAATTTGGTGCATGGGTATTTTTTGGGCAATTTTTTATTTTTTGGGCCCCAACATCGTGTGAGATGGGCTCTGCTCTGTATGTTAAATTAGGTTTTAGGCCTAACTCACACCCCAAAAGCTAGCTCAAAGGGAGGAGGATTGCCCAAGCCTTATAAGGAGTCCACCCATCTCATTAACCACCAATGTGGGACTTTTGGCTTTAACAATAACCTCATATTTACTTAGAGTTACACTTTAATTTGTCTCTTGTATGTAATATGAGTTGTATATCATGTTGATTGACCTTCATACATAGCCTAAGTTTTGTTATTATTGATCTAATGATGCTTGTTGAATAAGCATGTGAACTGTTAAACTACCTATTATGACTAATGTTTATAATTATGCACTTCTGATTTATTTTGTGCTTATTGTGTTGTCCTGAGAGATAACTGGAACAGTGAGCATACTGAGATATGTTGTTATGGTTAGAATACATCCATTATTTTGACGATGAGTGGCTTCAGTCTGATGTAAGCTTATGGACAAACAATTGTGTGTGTATGTTCGATCTGATATTACACTAGTATGAATTTTTTTTTGTGATGGATATATATACTGTCATGATGATGAGAGACTCATGTCAGATGTGGGCTTATGAACAAGTAATTATGTGTGGAATCGGGTACCACATAGATATTGTGCATGGACACCTAAGGTCATGACTAGATAGACAAGATCAAAGACCAAATAGCATGTGTGTACAAATAAGTGATTGTGTGAGTGGCCAGTGAGACGGATGAGATACATAGATTGTACCACTTTGAGGTCAGTGGGGATATGATTATCCTGATGGTGTTACTGTTGATTGATTGCAGATCTTGTAACGGTTTTGATATATGATTGTGTGGAATTCCACCATTGATATGTTTTTCAGCATTGGTTGCCTGTAATGGCTCATGGATAACTGTTATGACTTATTGAAGAATAAAGTTCAATAAATCTCTAAGAAGAAGTGAATAATTTAGAACTAGTTCCTCTAGTAGAATTGGAAACTGCAATGAAGAAGTAGTTTTGTGAGGACTTTAGGATTATTACACCATCCAATTTTATAAGGAACTGGAGTTCAAGATTGGAAAATATTATTCTTAATTAAGCACATGGAATTAACTTTGAATTAGGAGAAAGATCCCAACGCGTGAAGAAAATTTAAAGCAAGTTAAATTAGAACTGAATTCATAAAAAGACTTGAACCAATGCACGTGTTTGGATTGGAGAACTACAGGACCTCTATTTACTCCTATATAAGCAACACGACATAAATATTTGGAGTTTGACCACACAAAGAGAGAGTCGTCAAAGTGAGAGAGTCATTACAAAGAGTCTCGAAGAAGAAGCTATTTCTACGATGAAAAAAAATATTCCTATCAAGTTTTATCTATATTGTTCTTGAATTGTAATAGTTAGTTTCTTAGAGTGGTTCCAAAACAAGATCTTCATTACTTCGTAGATGATTGTAATATGCGTTGTATTTGTAAGGAACTTCATTGAAGGGGAAGAGTCATTGAAGAGAAGAGTTAAGAGGGCACAAGTTGGGAGTACTATTCCTTAGGTGTTACAAGAGTGATTGTAAATCTTAAAATTGCTCGAGTTTCGTGGAGATAGTTTGAAAAAAATCCTACAGACGTGGATCGTAGTTTTTGTGTCCCTTGAGCAAGTAGTATTCCACGCTAAATACTTGCGTTGATTTTACTTTGTTTTGTAATTTATCTTCTTGCACATTTTACTCAAAGAACCTGATCATTTGACTACATAGGTCGCAACAAAGTAACACTAGTCAAGTCGATCTCACCATGGACTGATGTTCTATTTTGATCGAATATAATATACTAATTTCTTACCTGCAATTGTCATACTGCTTTCCATCTTAAACATGTCAACAACGTTGAGGTAAATATAATTTCTGAATCTAAGCGAGTTCCGTCCATGCAAATATTTGTATCCATAATAGTAACACCACCACACGATTCTTTTTTCTTTTTTATTTTTTCATCACATTGTAAACGATAACACGATATATGAGTCATCTATGCATAGAGCTAAGAATACCTACCCAATCTTAATTCTTACATGACCACAAGAAAAGTATTAATAAAACTGGGATTATTCAACTGTACATCCCCCATATCTAACCCCATACAAAAATGTGGTAGTAATTTTTGCAAGCTGCCACAAAATTGATACAGATATTGATGTAGTCAATCCCAACTAATTTGTGATTAAACTATAGTTGACTGTGATTGACATATATTAGTCACCGTACGCCCTCCCCATCAGACAATTACGTAAATAACTAGCCTTTTCCTCAACAAATCATCATATCAATCGATCTTTTGATTAAGTAGGATCTGTCTGTAATAGTTGTAGTTGTCCTGCAGTTGCGAAATAACTGACCTGTTGCTTTAACTGAATGAGTCCATCTTTCTATATACTACATACAGATAATAGCTGGACACTTGGTAGCTCGTCCAAGGAAGCTTGCTAATAACTTCCCTTACATGATGAGTAGTATTTTCAGATTCACCTGGATTAGATTTGAATAATTAAGTTACTTGAAATCATTTACAATTTATTATCTATGCTCAACTTACATAATACCTTTTGCGTTTGTTCTTCAAAGCTGTAGAAGAGGAAGGATTACTGTGCCAGTTCCTTTTCCTTTGGTTAATAAACCAATTATTTATCTGCTTTAGTTGAAGACCTGTCTCTTGTACCAGTTTTGCCTTATCTTCCTCCTGCAAGAGAAAAAAGGATGCTATTTAGTACGTCCACAGGTCAATTAACTCAGCGTGGAAGACTGGATTGGCAACTAAAAGCTTACAGTGGGGTATGGCCACTTTGAATGTGATTGCCATCAAGCTTTCAAGACAGAGGTAGTATCGCCGGGGAGTTTTCCTGCCCTTCTCTTTCGAAGAATTTCCTCTCTAATATCCACTAGTTTTTCCTTGTAACCCTATTTAGAATTTAAAGGAGTTGGATGAGTTACGTTGAACACAGTTACATAGAACAATATAGCTCCTTTACCTGTTTCAACTCGTGTTTTAACTCCTGCCTCACACGCTCCATCAATGATCTCTCACTCTCTGTTGGGATCAAAGGACCAAAGCCCATGCTATCATGACCATCTAAACTTCCCTCAAACAAATTGGCATCACTATCCACCTGTTCATCTTCATCATCAGACATTGTAGCACCTGTACCTTCTCCTGGAGAAACTCCTGCATAAGCAACACACACATGTAGAAACAATATATCTTTAGTAAATGGCTAAAACGTTTTATGCATCTTTTACAGTGTATCAAGGTAACCTAACCAGGTCAGCCCGGAAAAGATACAAAGAAGAGATAACAGTGATAAACTTAGCAGGAAGTAATTTCAACTTCCCCAAAAGAAAAAGAAAACAAGAAGAAACACATGAAAACTTAATTTTTTTTTAGATATCATGCACAAGTCGTTTGATTTAGAACTGTTTATGATCTTTGAGAAAAGAATTAAGTGTATTCTACCATACTGAACAGGGGATACACATATAGAGAAAATCATATTTTTTTCCATTCATTAGTTTTTATCAGCAGCCTCAAACCACAAGGAAGTATCAAACCAAATAGGTGGAAAAAAAATAATGTCCTTCAAAGAGAAACAAGTCCAATTGACTATAGAGAAAATGCACTTTTTACTTTTCTTCCTCAACTGTATGACAGGCATGAGAAGGTTAACAAAATGCATTTCTATATATAGTCATATTTGTAGCTTAAAACATCACCGAGAGAAGACTCAAAGAGCTCAATAGTTTAACTCAATGTGATGATCATTTGCTACCATGTTTTCATGCTTGCTATTCCCAAGACCAACCACAGACTTTAGAACTGTCTAGTTTGATACTTCTAACAGATTCGCCACATATATGTTTAAGAACTTACCTGATATAATGGAAAAAAAGTTTCTACCACTGAAATCAAATGTTAAAATTTGAACAAATGACATGAAACTCTATCGTACAGTTGTTCTGTTCTAAAAGGGCACGCTCAAAAAAGATAACAGACCTATTTAAGTGAATTATGAATATCAGGCATATCATTACACAAATCTCTCCATCTCTCCCTTGGACTTATATATGCGCGACATTTATGCAGGTTAAAATGACCTAACTTAGTTCAAGAGAGTAAATAGCAACATAGAGATTATAACAGAGATAAGAGAATGAAGTCTGATCTGAGATTATATGAAAGTTTCATTGTAATAGTATTGAATCCAATAAGAAGAATAAAAATAAAATTATATTCAGGTTGGATTGCAAAGGAACCGAATCCATTAGATGCAATTGTTATTTCTTGAATTAGATTGGGAATGAATGCAATATCACTTTCACAGTCCAAACATATTTTCAGCAAATATTAAATCAACAGAAGAATATCACAAAAGTCACTGTAAATTGTAATCATAAAAATGTCTCAAAATGAATAATGGATTACCAGTTAAGCTTTGCAACGACTGCTCGATTTCCCAGCAAGCCATAACTGCTTCCATTGCATGAACACGAACATGTTGTTGTAGTTGTTCTTTAAAAGAACAAAGCAACAGGACATAATGTGTCTACAAAACAAATTGAGAGTAAAAATAAGCTCTAGCACCAGGCAATTTTGAGATCAGTTTGTGAATAAGAGATATCTCCCTAAGAGCAAGATGAAGCTAGTATAAACATCAAGGGAATATTCGCTTTAGAGTTATTATTTTGTTTCTTTTTATTCCACACCATTTGAAGAAACACATGAGTTCTAGGTACTTAGGCTACACTTTTTATTCAATAACAAACTGTGTCACTTGGCCAAAATATAATACTGCAGAACTGAGAGACAGCGCAATAAATGGTGTGCGTTCATTAATTAAGTAGACTATAATTAGATGGAAACTTTTTAAGGTTAAACTTAACATTTGATCTTGGTTTTATCAACCTTCTAATAAGTCTCTCAATGAGATATAAGTACAAATAGAAAATATTACTTCTTCCATTATAATCAGGACATAAGGTCTAACGGTAGCACTCTGCAATAATTAGTGGCCCCATTCACCTAATCTGACATAAGTTCTTCTCTTGCATATACATATACGTAGTCAAATTGTTAAGATACTACTTGAGATTCCTGGAATTATCACTTGAGCAATGAAAAGAGCTTGAAATTCCTGCTCCGGGATGACATGATATATCTTTCTGCCTAAGATGTTGATGCCTCACTAAATTTTCTGTTTTGTGGCTAGTAATTTCCAAAAAGAAATTTTGATCTCTTCTAAGAAGATAAGTAGGAGCCACACAAATTGATGAGCTGACAAGTCTTGACATTTAATTCAGTTGTCCTATTATTTAAAGGACCATATGAGCTAAGACAATTGTGGTATATAAATCATCTTCAACCAAACCGTTGATTAAATATATGCAAGGACGGCAAAGATAATACGAGTAATTCTTAAATTCGGAACTCTCTCCATATGGCATCAAATTCTTAAATTCGGAACTCTCTCCATATGGTATCAAATTCTTAAAATCAACCTACAGTCACAGCAACATGATTTCTTGACTGAAATTTTGAACGTACATCTATTTTTAATTGTTTTGGGTTTTCCAGAATAACCACTAAAGATGGGTGAAAACATTAATTTAGACAGAGGATTTGAAAAACAAGGCTCAGACAATCCTCTCCTAATTCACTCAATCCATGAAGCAAGCAGAATCAAATACTGAAAGAGCACACAAACTTTTTGGAATCCGTGAAATTTCAAACCTAATACTCATATAAAATCTATTGAAGGCAATTGCATATGTACTAAAATAAAAGGAAAAGAAAGAAGAAGAAAAAGCTTACCAAAAACTGATCAAGTTCCTTGTCATCAGCAAGATTCCCATGTCCAAGGCCGGAATATTTGCCTACTACTTGCTGCGACTGTGCCAGCTGTGCATCAATCCTTGGCAACTGATCTACAGGCGTTGCTATTCTTAAGCACGCCACATGGGCTGACAACAACTGCTCAAACAATGGATGTGCCAGAATTTCAGCTTTATACCCCGCATTTTGCCAATTCACGACTTCACTCTCACCAAACTCGTCCTTATTCAAATCGGAATCATTGGATGCCTGAACATCGCTTATATTCCTCTGTAAAATCGACCTTGATAACCACTGGTTTGAGTCGGACTGCAAATTCTCCCCAGCGCCGGCAACAGTATATTGACTTTGTGGTAAAAGTATTTCCCTGTTGAGCCACATCGGCGGCTGCTGGTGCTCTAGCGGTTTGACGTCGGACGATGACTGTTCCGGTAAACTAGTTCTCAAAATTTGTGAATTTTCCTCCGGCATATCCATTTCTTGTGACAATGAACAATTTTATACAACACACAATTTCACAACGTATTTCATTACTTATCAGAAAGTGTCTGAAACTCTACATATAAATTATCAGAAACTCATCAATCAATTAAACCCGGAATAATATAGTAGAGATGATAAGAACTTGAACTGTTGGGATTTCAGAAAGTGCAACGAGAGAGAATTAATAACAACAGAGGGCACGCACAGGAAGTATATGAAGTTTTTGTAGACAGAGCTTAGAGCAAAGGGGAGAAAGAAAACTAAGAGAGAGAGATAAAAAGAGGAAGCTTCGGTGCTAGTGTCAATATATTCCGGTGAAGGGAAAACTATAAATCAGTGGTCCCTAAATGTTGGACTTGGTATTGAGGGTAAAACAAAGTGGTTGGTTTAGTCGTTGGATGTAAACAAGAGTATGCACGCCTATTGCTTTCTCTACCTCTCTATATTAACACATATTTGAATTGTTTTTCATATTTGTACTTTTCTTTAATAAATATTGATATTTTCTAAACGATAAATTGTACTCCCTCCGTTTTATTTTATGTGAGGTAGTTTGACTCGACATCGAGTTTAAGAGAGAAATAAAGACTTTTAAAACTTGTGATAAAAAATGAATGATAGAAATTTGTGTGACGGTAAATTATTTCATTAAGGGTAAAATAAACATTTTATAGTTAAGTTGTTAGTTAATATAAAAATGTGTCATTCTTTTTGGCATTTACTAGAAAGCAAAGTAAATCACATAAATTAGTACAGACAGAATACTATTATTTACAAAGTTATTTTTATGATTTCACAAAAGATAATAGTGAAAACTAAAAAGTATTATTAAATTATGTCTTTAAATATTTTTTTCTTAATAAGTGTGTATTTCCTCACAAATTCAGTTAATATAAAATAGAGTGAGTATTTATGATTTCACAAAGAATAATAGTTTTTGTATTGTTTGAATTATGTGCTTCAATGTTTTTCTTAATAAGAGTGCATTGCCTCAAAAATTCAGTTAATATGAAACAGAGGGAATATTTTTCCATGCTTATTTATTTATTTATATCATTTTCTGTTTAACCTTTTCGGCTCCCTAAATGAACATGCATTCTTTCCCTATAAACCAATCCAAATCAATTAAAAAGTTAAATATTATTTGGATTTGGATCAATTTGGTTTTATATTCTTAAAAATTCTTAATATCTAATTTAATTTTAATTTTGATTTAGTCTAAAAATGAATTCAAAAAATAATTGATACAAATAGACAAATTATATACATTTTTTATGAATAATTTTTAAATATTTTCATCAAAATTTTATTTATAAAAATATAAAAAAGTCCAAACCAAAAGTCTAGCAGAATGCCAAATTGAAACCAAGTCCAAGATCAACAAAAATTAACAAAAACAACATATTTTTTTAATTTTTTTTTCTTATTGTTGGATAAAAATCAAAACTCCTCTTACAAGTTTGTAGGACCATAACAAGTGGATGATGGGTAGTATGGTTATCCTTCGTTTCAACCTTATTTTTAAATTTAATTTTTGTGTATGAACAATCGAATTGAATCAAATTGAACAAAAATAGATAACAACCAAATTGATAAATGTATATTATATTTGGTATGATTTGATTTTAATAATTAAAAAGATGATTAAATTGGTTTGACTTTGATTTTTGACCAATAACCAATCCAACCCCAACTCATCTCATGTTCTTCAAGCCCAAGGTCCTCTAAAATTACTTGAAGTTCAAAATACCCCAAAAATCTCAGTTCACAACTTTATAAAGGTGTCTTAATACGACTAGAGATAGAGATGCAATCAATAGAAAACCTCTATTATTCAGTGGAGAACTGGAGATCCACAAGTTTTCTGCACACAAAAAAGTCTTCTTCTCCATGTTGTGAGCCGCAAGTTGTCATATCTCCGCGATTGTGATCAAAGCTTGGCTCTGCATTCATGGTGAAGTTTCAATAAGTATTTCATCAATTCAAGAACAAAACAAAATTTTTGAGTTGACGATCTTGAGGAGAAGAATTAGAAGAATATATTTTATCAATATTGTAACCATCAAATAAATTATTGAAATATAAATATCATTGTTTGTCACTATTTCTCCTTTCTTGATTTCTATTTTTGAAGAACACAATTTAATTGGTTACAAATTGGCATGCCTAGTGGGATAATATTTACCTCTCATCTCTTTTATTTTAAGTTCAAAATTATTAATATGGCCGCAATAAATATCAACTCTGAATCAGATTCTTTGGAAGATGTTGACTCCAAAAATGTCTCTCAAGTTGCCATGGAGATTTTGACCAAATTAGAAGGAGTAAAGCTGAAATGTTGGGACAACAAGTGCTTTAAGTACCATCCAAGTCATCTCAGATTTTCAATTTATCTTCTTCAAATGAAGAATATCATCTCCGTATATTCTAGAATGAGGGAACAACATTGGTGAGGTTGTATCAAGATCTTTGGATCGACCTAAGATTGTTATACGAATGACATCATTTGGTCAACGATCCCATCAAGCAGAATGCTGATGGTGTCTTGAGTGCTAAATCTTCTCCAATCTTTCCTTATTTCACTTCTCAATCCGAGATTTATCCAAGTGATCTTTTGCATTGTTCTTTATCCTCTATGATGGTTGTGCAAGCGATGGTGATCGAAGCTTTCACCATAGAAGAACAACTTGCAAATTTGACGACAGCAGCTGCAGATTTATCAAAGAACCTCAAAGGTCAATGAACCTGAATTATCAAAATGAAAGATATAACAAATAGTATGGAGGAAGAAGAGTCAACTAAATCATCTGTGAAGCTACATGAAATAGAAGAGAAAAAAGAGTTCTTCGCAAACAAAGAAATAACGATCAAGAAGTTTTAAGTGTCTACCGATGGTTTGGTTCATGTTGATCAATTAAAGGATTTTATCATGCGGGCAATCAAGGATAAATTTGAGTCGACATCCAAATCATCTCTTACATCTGTAAAGTCATATACACAAAGCATTGATAACTTTAAGATACAGGCCAACATTTAATCTTCTAAGTTGTAGCAATTTGACGACAAGGGAAATCCAAAATAACATGTAGCAGACTTAATAAAAACTTGCAATAATGTTGAAAGATATGGTGCTCATCATGTTAGACAGTTTGTTTGATCTCTCAAAGGAAATACTTTTGATTGATACTTAGATCTCAGATCTAGCTCCATCGATAGATTTGAGAAGATGGAGCAACAATTCCTTAAGCTAGTGTGAGCATGATAGAGCTTACTAATTGATAATGGTCAAATCACTCTCTAAAACAATTCCAAAGAATGAGCGATCGTCGTAAAAAAAAATAATCAACTAAGTGTCAGAGTTGAACCCCATAAACAATGGCGCAAGATTAAGGATCCAATTAGTGAATTAAATCGCAACTAATCTTACATAGTAAACATGACAAATGGGTGGATGATTCCACCAAACTTAACAACACAATTTCAGGAACATAAATATACCAATGTTAAAGCAAGCAAAAGTTCACGAGATTAATTAACTCTAGGGGTATGGGGATTTAACATTGAGATCAACAGGGTTAGTATCGAATTGCTCAGTAAAACTAGATAATCATGGATAAGCTAGATCATCTTTAATTATGTTAATATTATTTCGATCTCATAATAGAATTTCATGAAATCTCCTTTTGGTCTCATTCATGCAATTCTTAGCTCAACCCACTACCTTGAATTTACAATTAAGCTTGGGTAAATCACAAACATAAACCTAATCAACCACTCATATCGGTCTTTTTCGAGCACCGATGCGAGATCGAAGCTAAAATCATGTTGGTCACCTTGATTTATATATTAAATACATGGTAACAGTTCAAATCCATGATTAATAGTTCTAAAATAGAGCAATTCAACATATCCACTAAGTTAAATCAACACCCAACCCCATAATCACACCCGAGATTGGGGTTTTAGCCACTCATCACAAAAGCAAAGATAGTATACCTTGCATGAAATTGACTATAGGTGACATGAATTTGAGAATTTATAAGCAAACCACTTTGAATTCAACATCAATTTAGAAAATTCAAGATTATCAATTCACAAACTGCAAAAAACAAGAAAGTGTTTTTACTTAATGAGGAGTATTTCTCTCTCTACAATACTCAGATTTTTTCTCACGAATTTTGAACCCCTTTTTTCTCTTTCCTCTGGGATATTTATAGTTTTTCAAAATTTGGCCCAAAACTCAATGCACTTCTCACTTGGAGACGTTAGTCGGGCTTGCCGATATCATTTGGTGAGTCACCATGCTTCATCTCACTTTTTTCTTGATCTAGGCTTCAGGTGTTTGACCATTATTTGGCTGTCCATTTGAGTCTGCTTTTCTCGTTGAGCAAGTCGCTGATCGTTACCTTTGTTCGCCTTTTGAAGTTCCATTTTATCATTTTTGGCGACTTTCATCCTTTTTGCCTCTTGCATTTGGTGCAACATTGTTTCGCCATGACTTTGCCAACCAGCCTTGAGAAAGAAACCCAGTGCACTATAAGTTTGGGCAATATCATGCTCGTTAGGATATTCACCCATCTTGTTTGGTGATCATCATAGTATAATTTACACTTCCGACATTTTTGGACATTCTTTCAAACATTCATCCTTGCCTTGTCCTTTAGCCTTTATAGCTGCAAATCATCAAGATATCATTAGAATAGAACATAATTAGGCATTGAGGACACTAATTATTGAGCTAAATAGGCCTTAAATAAGTACAAATGTACCATTCATCAACACCCCCAACTTAAACTTTTAGTTGTGCTCAAGTAAATCAAGAACACAATTAGCTCAATAAGGGTGTCTATAACCGTATTCAATGAGGGCTAACATGAAAGTGTGAGGAGTCAGGAATTTTGACTCATTTAGGGCTTGTTATTTTATTAATTAGTGTCCTCAATGCCTATTTTGTGTTCATAACTGATGTTAAATTGTTTATGTGCAGCCATGAAGGCATAAGAACAAGG